AAGTATGCCAAGAGAGATTCTATAAGTTTCGCTAATTCTTATCTCTAAGGATATTGAAGCAGCTATCGTACTTTTTATCTATGAGACGCCTAAGTTTTATAACAGTGAGTGTTCAGTTTCTTAGTTAAAAGCTCATCGAAACGTTTTCGAAGAATTTGAAGTTCTCATTTCTATACTTCCGATATAACCACTCTTATAGATACGCGAAAATTTATAAATGAAGTTGACACAACTGTCCAGTTTATCAGCCTTCATTTTGCAGCAGAGAACCAAGTGAACTAACCTGACTGCGCAATATGTACTTTTCAGAATGATGATTGACTTTTTATTTACCTTTTGAAGTAACCATGAGAAAATGCCTGATTCCCATCAACTGTAATTTTTCCAAACGTTTTGAATTCGTCCCCACTTTATTTGCTTTTAATTTCGGCACTTAACAACCTTTTTTGACCATCAGTATTCATCGTTCTGTTTATTAACTGAAAGTAATCTTTCCTTTCATAGAACAGTAATCTAGTAAAACCAAAATTTTTAGACATTCTATCAATTTCAACTTCATTCGTGTTTACTGCTTTGCGCATAACCACTGAAACAGCAGGACATGGTAATAAGTTTGCTGATGAATATCATTCAAATAATATAAGAAACCTATTCCTCTGTTGACCTACAGCATCATTTATCAAGCGGAATACTGAGCTAGTACACATTACTTCTGGACTATGCAACAACATAACTAAGCTCAAAATATAAGCTATTAATCGTATTCATTAGTGTAATTGTTTTTATATGATACCGTCGTTGCTTGGACCGAAGTCATTAGTCTATATTGGCATATGGACTCCTGTGCGGATGCCTCGATATTGCCTGCGTTCTAATTGTATTAATGATTGATCGTGGCTAGCAGTGGAATCCAGGATGGGCATTTCGTCGTATTTCGGACTCGTCACCATATGCCAATAGAGATTAATCAATTCGGTCCAAGCCACGACGGTACCATATAAAAAAATTATGCTAAAACTATACCCGTCACCCAAGAAGTGGCTATCGTGGCTTGGTGGTGTGGTGGATAACGCCTTGGTGTTTGAAGCGAGAGCTCCGGGTCCGAATCCCGGTGGGAACAACATCACTCACTGGGAAGCAGGTATATTGAGCTGACGAGTCCCAAATAGGACGAAATGCGCATCCTGGATTCCACTGCTAGCCACGATCCATCATTAATACAATCGTACGCATCGTTTTCATATAAGCTGTAAGCCGTTTCAAATTACACCGGTTACCAGGGTGGTAATGTAAGATAGCGCACGTTCAATATGGACATTTGACAGATAAACTGGAAATTATGGTAAATTCATAAATCCAAAAACATTCGTTAAGTACGACTGCAAATTATCGGGAAAACCAGTTACTAAAAATCCCACAAACAAATGACACATCTTATAGCTGCTAAACGAAAGATGAAAAGGTAGAAAAAGAATTTACTAATGCTATTTTGAAGGTCATGTAAAACAAAATAGCCAAAGATCAAAGTTAACTAAGTGATTTAGAATCATTGAGTTTGAATAAATGAATCTGAATTTAAATTAAGATCAAAATAAATTTATCAAGGAATTGAGCGACAAACCTTGCTTTTTCTGTATTGATATGGCATCAGCTTCAGCAAACAAAGTGGTTAAAGTGTTGTGTGTACCTTCAGATAAAAATGGCTTAAATTGCTTCGCCTTCAATTAGTTGGGCTAATGAATATACCCGACAGTATGTTTGTCTACCCGCATATGTAACAGTGACCAACACGCCTTACTTTCTACTTGAAGACGGCATCCTACTCTATTGACAGTGACATATTGTGACAGTATCTGAATATGAAGAGAGTACCAAGTAAGCATATAATGCTAATCAAACACCTCTACCAGAACTCATGCAGCCGTATCAGGAATTATGTCATCAAAGTTGACGACAAGTAGTGGTATCCACTAGGGATGCCTATGTCACCGATCTTACCTGACTTCGTCACAGACATACTAATGAACATAACCTTAGGTGAGTGTGACCTCGGAGGGATTGACCAACTCCCTGGATGACACCTCGTTGACTCGCAGTATCTAGACGATATTATCCCGCTAGGTGAAGACGCTGACAGGATGCAAAGTATTCTGTACTCGTTGAGCATAAATCTGAGTATGTTTGGCTAGCATACGCTTCGCTGGCACCTGTCAAATGTAAGATGATGCTCAAGAACTGGTCTGCTGCAAGTACTCCCAGTTTAATGATGGGGATGGAGTGAGGTGGTGGAATTTTTCGATGACTTTACTTAATTGGGGAGTTATATCAGCTCGAATGGGTTGGTTGGTGACTATGTCTCCCCTCGGATACAGAAGGCCCGTTTGGCATTTACCAACTTGTTTCACCTGTGACACTGGCGAGATGTCCGACTATCTGTCAAAGGACGAGACTGCTGCGCCTCAGTCCGTTGTGTCCTGTTGTACGTCTGTGAAACATGGCGGTTAAAAGTAGAATACATGAAGTGGTTCCAGACGTTTCATCATGGGTGTCTTCTTAGCATAGCTTGTGTTTGGTGGGATCACCGTAATAGAAATGTTGAGGTCAGGGGAAGGATACTAGGGAAGAGAGGGAAGTCGATGGAAAAGGTTGTGAACTTTAGTCAACTGAGATGTCTTGGACATGTATTGTGTATCCCTAGTCGAAGCTTATCTCACACTACTTTATCTACTTTGATACCACTCTTATTCTATTTATCTTTACTTTACGGATTACTATGATAGCTGGCAAATTGAGTCGATACACTTATTTGAGAGGTTCTACGTTGATTTTGTCAGTCACTTCGTTAACTCCAGTTGATATAAATAATAAGGCTTTCCTAGTTGTTTCGCTGCAGCAAACCAAATGATCTACTCTGTTTTAAATAGGTAGGGTTACCTTGGTTACACTTTATATGGTCGACTTTTTGAACAAGTAATTCAAACTACTCATTTCCAACAGTGTTATGTTTGCCTTAGAGCAATGAGTATGACTTCAGAATAGCTGCAGTAAAGCTTTATGTAGTGGAATAACAGAATGTGGGAATTCTTTATTAAAGTCATTGGAAGAAGAATATGCTTTTTTCTTCTTTTCGCCATCTACTATGGTTACTTTTAAAATGTTTAATTTGAGCATTACGATAAGGTGTAGTTCCATTCTAAATATGAGTAGTTAATGGCATCGATGAGACGAGGAGAAGTAGATTATGATCAAAATGTTATCCGGTAAATAATACTGTATCGTTTCATTGTATTACAAATTTAACTTACTATGAAAGGAATGATGCGAATAAGACCCAACCATATTATGCCTTTTTACTGAATTTATTCTCAGTAATATGACCCAGTTTTATAAGTTTGAAATATATGTAAGTGATCTCAAGTTTTCGAAAGTTATTTCACCTTAAGTATTGAGCTGACACTACGGTGGACTTCACTCTGATAACTATAAATCTGGGCATACTTTCACAGTACAAGAAGTTTGAGATGAAAACATCGGAAGCAGCTGGAATCAATAATCCTGGGACTAAAGATGTGTTACTCTACGGCAGAAGAGGTGATGAACAAAGCTGACAGGAGAATAAGAATCACATTGATAATCACTTTCCTAGCAGTTAATTCGGTTTTCTCATGCAAAAGTGTTCACTGCGAGAATCAAGAGTCGACATATCATATCACCTAAAATAGTATTTGAAGTTCCACCAACATACATTTGATAGATACAAGACACAACATCCTTACATCCGGTGCATTCAGATTAACCAATTAAACTAACACTGTTATTTTACTCAAATTCACAGAAGTAACTGCTAGCACAGGAATTAAACCTTTTTGCTCAAAAAAGAGACCTTAGACTCAAATTTCCATAATAACCATCAATTTTTGTCTTTTAGAATAAAACCTTCAGATATTTTGTTTAAAAATGGTCATGAAATCAATTTCTATTTTATCTCTACAATTTTACTGTCTGGCTCAAACCGATTTGATTTTAACTCATTTTCAGTTTTGAATTTTGTATTCACACTATGAAATTAACACATACAATTGAGTGATTTTTCCTTTTCCATTTCTCGACTTTTTAAATATAGCAGAAAGAAAATCTCGAACACCTTTAAAGGCCACCCTAGCAACTTCTGAAGTGACCAATCGCGCTTCCATATTTCGCCTGGGAAAGTACTTTACAAAAAATAAAGCAGTGTAATTAACTGTCTCATCAGTTGCTAGGGTGGCGTTTCAACTCACCCAAAATCTCACTACATGAACACTGAATAACTGGTCTTAATTAATAATTTACTTCTTTCGGAATTGCCTGATCTGTTTCATTTCTGTCAATGTTTTTCATCGATGGAGAATATTTTTTGCCCATTTATCAAGGTATTTAGATTGCATTTGTATGCGTATATTCTGTAATTTCTAGAGTATGAACGCAGTCGCAAAGAAGGTGATGAAATATCATGCATACTTTCTATTCTGTAGAGTTAGTTCGGTTTTGCCATACTAAAGCTTTATGAAGAGAACTAAATGTTCTTTTCAATGTACTTGTGTTGATGCATTTACCTGAAGTCATCTGCATCTTCCAAAATGTTTCAATGGATTTTTTTATTATTTCGTGTTTAGTTTTTACGTGGTGGTGTTTGGATAAATGAAGTTATGATTTTTGTCTAAATAGTGGTACTATAACACTGGAAGGCGATGATATATGTCTTACGAATCACAGGAAGGGAAAAGGAGGAGGAATGATTTCTTCTAACAACTACCACTACTTAGTAACAGTAAAAATCAGATGGCAAATTTATCAGTGTTTTATTGTTTGCTCCGTTCTACTTCTATGATTATCCTTTACTCCCTATTTTTTCTGTTTGTGTTGCTGCAATCACATAACGTGGTACATAATTAAATGCTTTCAGTAATTAACCATGAGAAAAAGATGAAACTCTGCACATAAAAAACTGAAATCAAACTAACTTTGTCAAGAGAATCGAATGTGGTATCTATAAAATCTTTATAACAGCTTCTCGTTCTTCTCCGATCTTTAAGTTCTGAAAGGCAAGGTTTAAGGCTTTTAAGTTCAAGTGAGCAATGCATTGAATGGGTTTCTTTTGGGTAAATGAAAATGTCCGACTGACTACTACTATCTTCGTAGTCTAAAAATTGTCTCGATTTGTTGTAACTCAGGGTATTGTAATTTACTACTTTGTTTTTCCGTTTTTCTTTATCATCCGAAAAATCCCCATTCATCCCGGGTAAACTTAAAGGTGAATTATACAATCGTTTCTGTCGTAATCTTGATGTCTCTTGAAAGCTTATTCTACCATAGCTACTGTTTTCAATAGAAGTATTCACAGTTCCCGTTTCTGGACTGATATTTGATACTGAATTAAGTTTATACTGTTTTTCTGTATAACCATTGCTTTCACAACACTGATTATCATTCACTGAACACGTTTGAGAATCTAAGTTATTGCGAATCACTTCGATATCTTCACATCTTTTTGTTTTGAAGATAGTTTCCGGAGAGTTTCCTTCATCATTGTTTTCATTTATACATGGATGTAAGTCGAACGATTTCTTGGACTCCAGATCACACATTAAAAGTTTTCATACGACAACAGAAGTTTGGGTTATTGTTTTCTAATCAACAAAAAAATTCCATTTCACCATATTTAAATATCCGAAATAATAATACAACAAAACTAAAAACTTTTGTGTGAATTAAATATATACGTTAGGGCGAAGTTGTAGTATGAACAAGGGGTTATTTATTCTAGTGTTTTGCATCTGGAGTTATATTTATCTAGCACTGTGAAATTCACTCATCATTTTATTATTGAGAAACAAAACCTATATGTATTCAAAGAATGATAATGAAAATATTTGAAAACATTCTTCAAAGATTTACGAATTTTTATGAGACTGTCTCTTCAACTGATGGTAACGAAAAATAAGTATAAAAACTTAAGTATGAGGAATTCATTTTCCTATATTCGTGGTATTACATAACAGAAAGAGGTGCAAAAATTTGAAAATCATCCAAAATTGTAGTTCACCTCTGATTGTATAGTATTTAGTTGTGAGTATCTTTATAATTAAGGTTTTATTCACACTTGTTCTTATATTTATAGATACTGGGAATTGGATACAAAAATCTGATTTCCGTATGTTAAAAAAACAATTTTGTGATTAGTCCGCTGGTGAATTCAAACTGTTATGTCCGGAAGTACTTGTCAAGGTGATCTTTATTATGGAAATGTAATGCATTTATGCTCAGCATTTGACCTCCCTTTGATTAGAAACTTTATTCATGTTTTTAAAAATACTTATCGTGTGCATATTTCCTCAGTATCAACTTATAAAATTGTGGAAAAAATATAGATGTTTATGAATTGTAAATAAAGCAATTCATCTAACAGGAAGACAAATGATGATGCCAATTTAGTAGGGTTGGTTCCGACGAACTTATGCATCGCCACCAGATATCAGCAGTACAACCTTAAAACATTAGAGAATTCTAAATATGCTTCATTCTTTATGAATACTTACCGCAAGTGGATAACACCTTACTCATCAAAATAATAATTTAAAAACTGTCTGAAGATAACGCCATTAATATAAACTATGATCAAGATTTGATCGTATAATATGGCAAACATTGGGCCCTGAGTAATAGGTTGACATTGGATGCTGGGACCAAACTTCCGTGCGAAACGTTGGAATTATTTGATTCCAAGCCCACTGTGACTTACATAAGTACAATCTATATCTGATGATAACGTCATTAAGTTTGGATGGGAAAACGTGTTTATCTGATATGAACTGAAAATAGACTAGTGAGATTTGGGACTGTTAAAGTAATCAAGTATGTGATAAACTGGTTCCATGTTTTTGTTTCAAACCACGACTCACCTAGTGAGAAACCAGAAGAAGTCAATAGAATAAGAAATGGAACACAATCCTTTCGCATTAGGAGTGATGATAAAAAATAGTTAAATTGTATATTTATAGGTTTGTACAATGAAAATGTTGACGGAACATTCTGAGTAAGAGTTTGGAATAACTATAAGGGTCACCCCAACAACTACTGAAATAACCAATCAAGTTACTGCATTCGGGTTACAAGAGCAGTTTCTAATGAAACAAAGAAGTCTAACTGATCATTATGGTAGTTTCAAGTATGTTTCTCGTAGCCATTCAACAGCTCGTAGAACCAGTATAGAAATTCCTTGTGGAGTGAAAAATTAATAAACGTTTTAAAGGAGAATAACTGACATTTCGTGAATTCTAGACATCATTATTCCAAAATGATGATATTTTCCAAGCATATTTCTACAGAGTACCTAACGGAGATCAGCAAAATATTTAGCACTATCTAATTCGTCACTGTTTCTTGGTTAAGATAAGGTTATAATGAAAATAAAATTTGAAATGTAATAGCTTATTCATTTAGGAACATTACTATTAGTCTCAATCTTTATAATGGTTTTTTTAATGTATTTTTATCTAAACAGGATACACCAGTGTGAAGATATCGATATCTTTTAGTTGAGTGATTTGATCTCCTAAACTTACTTGTTTAGGAGATAATGGGGTCAAGTATACCATATGCTATTTTATTTCCAATCAGGGTGTAAATTTTATCTCCACATTTTCACTATGTAGTTGTTATACAGGTATTCTGCCAAAATTACTTATTGAAAAGGTGTATCCGGTTACTTGATTATTTTATTATTCAAGCGTTAGACGAGGACTTTATGATTTCGGCTGAGAGGCACTAATAGGTTACGGATTTGGAATCAACACTTTTAGTACAGAAGTCAACCGCTTTAACTGTAGTATAATTTAGAAGCATTAAAATTAAAGTAATTCTACCTGTTTGTAACTTCAGCTCTCTGTATTGGTACAACTAATATGAAGTCCATAACCTTTTAAAAAGTAAGGGTGAAAAATGATATGGAGGGATACCGATTGTTTTACCATCATCCATAACTGTCGATTGACCTTAATCGTACATAAAAAGTGATCTGCAATCTAAACAGGATACTAAGAGTGGTATCTGAAGTGAATGAGACAGAACATTATCCCAAATAACTGATTCTACTTCTCTCAATGATTTTCTATTAATGTAAACTAAGTCATGGTGGTACTGCAGTGAAGTGTTTAGTTAAAAATTTATATTTTCTCGTCATACCTCAGATTTAAAAACTTTTTAATTACCGAAGATACTAAAACAAGCAAATGAGAAGTTTCAGACATTGGTATAGAAAATGAGAAGTTCGCTAAAACAGGGAATGTGGATGATTTTCATTCATATTATACCTAATTGAATCATTAGAAAATAAACCTCTGTCCACAAAAACCTTCCCGATATATAAGGACTAGTTAATTCGACTTCCCATTAGGAAGAAACTTGCTTGGCATTATTGGGGCTGTGATTGCTCACTTCCAGTATTTCCAGTTTTAAAGAATTGTCAGTATTTCTATGTTTTAGTGTATTTACTTAAGTCTCAGCTTCCATCGCTTGCTTTACGAAAAGTAGAAAACCTAGTGGTCATTAGACATTTGATGCCAAGATCAGTAGTTTGGCACACGTGCATGAGAAAAGGTTGATTGCTTATGGCTCCTTATACTCATAAGATAAACTACCCAGGTTTATTATGAGTTCTTCCATCGCGTCACAGATGTGTAACTCCATAGTTTACTCGTCAGTAAATCTCTGTAATTAAAACTCAGAATCCATTGAAGGTTAGTAAACCGCTGTACTTCCTGAAAGGGTTATTGAAATCAGGAAAATTCATAAATGAGAGCTGCACTGTTCTCATGAAAAAGAATTTCGACATGTATCGGACATCGTTTACCTTTCAAACTGATTATCTGAAAGGCACCCACCCTGTAATGGTAATTGAAAAGTTTTCCCTTAGTTGAATTTGATTTGTATAATATTTGAGTGTGTTGCATGATGATATTTTCATCTTGAAAACAAAAATAATTTTTTTTACCTTGCTACGAGCTATAAAGAGTTAAGTTCTTGAAGCAAGTTAGGTGAAAGTTAAAGTTGCGACTTGATTTGATTTGAACACTGCGATATTTTTCTGCACTGTAGTTAAAACTTTTGTTTTACTGAATTATTCCTTTTAGCCGAATTAAGTCAACCTGAATAATCCATTCGTATCATCTTTAAACAAGGGCACTAAATGAATAAACCGAAGTTTCAGTGATATCAGACCGTTTATTGCAAATACAACTGTTGGTTTCTGGCTAACAGAAGCAGGAAGAGGAGCCAATTCAAATGATTTCTTGTAGATAACGTGGATTTATCACCGTCGATGGGTGCAATTCACAACTTATCAGTGTCAAAAGATTTAAAAAGCTTCTTACCCATTTGACCATACTTTCCTACTTATTTTCCGTCTATATACTGTTATTACTTTAATCTCCAATATTACTATTCATGTAATCCATCCACTACAAATCAGTTTTTGTAATCAGTGTTGACAGTTAGTAGTATCTTAGCTTTGGTAGTGAATTTCACAGAATTTGTATTTGTTCTCACAGAGATGGTATTAATATATAAGCAACAGAACTAATCTAAGCTCATTGTTTACTTTCATCTGAACAAGAAATAAACAAGGAAGAATAATGTTATAAGAGCTATCAGTAGAAACATTTTTAGTATTATTCAAGCCTACAGATATCAAAATTGTGACTGTTATCGTGAAGATGATAAGCAGTTCCGTTTAAAATGCAACTTTTACTGACAGGATAATGTATCCTTGTTGAAAGTTTACTACACATTCACTTGTAATAGATTGCGTTATTTTAAAATAGGGTTTTCACCGTTGTAGCACAGTATTTCACAACTTTTTATTGTCTCCACAGAATACTGCTACACAAAACGAAAATCTGCTCTTAGTTTTTGTTTTATAAAATTATTTGCTGCCTTTGAGGCTACCAACACAGCAATACATTCTGAATAAGCTGAAATGTTTAATCCTTTTCAGATAAAATTGGAATATAAATGTGTATGAACAATACTGTATTTGATCAAACTCTCTTCACGCTTTGCTCTAATGCACATAGATTTACATATACGTAATGCGTTAAACAAACCATATCACCTTCATACAATTCCCCCCCTCCCCTACAAATTTAAATGGAGCAGCTTTAGGAGAATAGCTAAAGCTTCTGTTCTCACTCATAGCAATTTTCCGAGTCATTGATAACAGAGTGGTGAAATATGCGATTATTAAATATCACGGAGCAAAAATACTAAAAGCTGCATTAACGAGTTTAAAAACAATGAAGACATTATATAACGCACATAACAACAATAGTGAGTCAAAACTTAAAATACTAAAATTTGTTTCATACCAAAGTATTAATTAACTCGATAGTCAATACTTTAATAAAAATGATAGATGTATAAAACACGTTTTGAAAAAATTAATGAGCGAAGTTGTTCATTATTAATGCAGAGGGGGAACAGAGCGTTTTGGTGTTGCATAATTGCATGCTAGCTTGTTTGTTCCATATCTAACATGGTGGAACAGTATTATTTACTGGATTACGTTTCAGACAAAATTTGGTGTCCGTAGTTATAGCAAGATAACTACAGAACATCAAGGCAAGGTTTACTTATTTCTAATTTCCTTGCTTCCCTCACGATATGGGTAGTAGGGTTTCCCCTATATCCGAAACAGGTGCCTAGTCATTTTAGTTTGATGTTGATTTAATGAACAAAGATACAGCTATCAATCCCTCTCAGCTCCCAAATAAGTTAGTTTTAAGGATTGTCACTCTTCGCATCCTACTGTGTGGTTCTGAGTCACTGCATGTATAGACACGGCCGAGAACCCCATGTAATGTCTCTGAGGTGCATTCCTTGTACGGCAATACTGTAGAGGTTTTCAATTTCTTTTCCGCAGCATTACCATCATGATTATCAATATTATTGTTAATACTGTCAACACTTGTGTTACTAACATTAAACATACTTTCCTTACAATTTCTAAGGAAAGCATTGATTAACTTTAGTAAGAAATAGACAAGCGATATATATGCCTTGTATAAAAAATTCTGTAGGATCCCGTAAGTCACGCATTGTAGCCGAAATCATCCGGTTAGGCCGTAAAATTGTCATGCGGTATTATCTATTCTCACTTATGATGGTACGAATGACTCATTTTTTGCAATATAAAAGGTTTACATCTGTTTCCAGGTAATAATATGTTACACTTAACACTGTTTAATATGAAAGTCATAAAAATCTTAACACATGTTCCTTTAGACTTTTTCTGCCTGATACTGATGAGATAGGAAAATATTTGACTGATTTGGGATAAAGTTGATCTTCTTTTGAAAATCTTGACTTATGTGTGAGAAAAAGATTGTCATACACTTTGCATATATAAGTTTATGCAAAACATTTATATGAATTAAAAGTGAGTCATTTGTAGAAGAGGGTAGTAAAAATGATCGTAAAGTGACTTTCAGCTTGAAAAATAGCTTTTATTTATTCAACAAAAATATTATGTGTGTGTAGGTCAGCCACATTTTTGTTTATTTCCCTAATGCATCAAAAATACATAGAAAACTCAACTGGTTCGATGCAAATGTTTAGTTTCTCAACGCAAATTAAAATTGTTGATGCAAGAGCCATCTGGATTACTGCCTAATCTGAGTGAGATGGTTGAGTGATTTGAACACTTTACCTATCACGGAAGTCAGATTAGTCCTAAAAAGTCTGTGATTAGTGAAATACCTGAAAAGATAAAAAGGATGAACTAGCTTCTGCTATATAGTGCTAGCTGTGGTGCCAGCAAGAAATCTCATTACTTAAAAAGGGCCGTGTATTCAGCCCAACAGGTTACTGCAAATTAAAATATACCTGGTGGACATAAATGTAAAGCGTAAAAACAAGAGGTGTACAAAAATCATGCCTTTATGAAATTGTTCGTTTAGAGTGGAAACAGTATATTAAAATACTTGTATGTAGCAGGGAGAGAGAAATAGTGGTTCTCAAACTCTCTACATGGAAGTCGCTACACACTTTAGTGTCATGAGGCATCGTTCTGGGACTCCCCTTATTTACCTTATGCTCAATTAGACCACTAAGTCTCACGAAATCCTCAATAATTTTCTATGCCAAAGATGTACATATACTTCAGATACACTCAGACAGTTTTTCATCCTATTCAAAAAAATGTTTGACACCTATCATTTCACATAAGTCTTTGGGCAAGCCAACGGTGCAGTCGAGTGGCAACACTTAAGATATCGTCGAGATTCACATATCCTGAGCATTTATATACAATGATCTAGGAGTCGTAGTGAGTCGTGTCTCGGGAACCACAGCACACTTTCTATTAATTTTATCCTGGGGTTTTATGACGCACTAAACACTTTAATAGGGTAAGTGACAGTTCGTTCACCACTTTATATACACCCCTAATTTAACATGAATCAGAAACGTGTGTACAGGTGGCCAATCTTAATAACAGCTTCGAGACTTCAACCTCTCCTCTTTACTGTGTCGCAGACATAGGGGAGGTGCAATCATGAAGCATATGAATTTTGGAAATGACTTTTGGCCTGATTTGACTTGCATTTTCGTGTATACCATGTCGAAAAGCTCAGTAGACACAGCGTAAGAGTGAAAAATGAAAGGACAAAGGCCTCAGTATGGTACTGGTTTCTAATCAAGTGGTCAACTATTTGAACCTATTTGCAAAGGAAGCGATGTCCAGTCTTCAATTAGCTCATCCAGGAGAGGACTGAAAAAGCGCGGAAACCAGTGTGAAGAAGACTTATATAAGCCCATATTTTCTATCATAAGGCTGGAAATCCAAATCTGATCATTTATTTTTGCGGACAGTATAGTGTCTGTGCCTTTTGTTGACACCTTCAGAGTGATTTTGCCTCCGCAAAATTACCATTGACGAGGAAAACTGCAGATCACTAGCAATAATTTTATCATAAGTTAGATGTTCAAAATTGATTATTCAATGACTATTCCCAGCAAATCGCATCAGCCCGCTATTTCATAAATTTCGTCAATTTAGCTATGCTGAACAATTTATTAAGCTGGCAGGAATTTAAAAATAGTGAGAAGTCTTTGCTTTGGGTTAAGTAATTTACATTTCTAATATTCCTTATATTTGGAAGTTGGTTTGGATAGTTCAGTTAAAGAAGAATACAGTAGGTTTGTGGTTTAACTTGACTAAGAAATGTGGAAATAATGCTAAAATGCTACTTTTAAACGAACTTTCCTACACTTCCCGCAAAAATTCACGAGTTATCTACATTATTTCCCCATTTCATGCACTTTTAAGGTGCCGTAATTAACATTTTCGCATTACTTACAATATTCCCGCAATTCTGTTTGAATGGATAGATAGTTTCATTTATCGACATCCTAGAAAGTCATTTTGCATTCTAATGGATATTAAGATGGCAATACTCAAGAACATGTTATTAATGTAAGCCTAATGGTATTCCGTAAGAAGTCTGCTGTAGTACGATTCTGCGAACCGGTCAGTTTTCCAAAAATAATTAAGCTATGGTTATATAATTCTTGCCATAATCACAACCGATATATCTCGATTTATTCGTCATTTCCACAACAAAACCAATTTTTTGGTCTATAAATCTGAGAGAAACGAATACATTCACTTTCGATGTATATATGTAAACAACAAAAGCTGTATCCTAACTCACAGGAACTAGTATCTAGTTCATATATTTGATGATCTCATCCGAACAAACAAGTAAGCTCATTCGAAAATTTTCTTAACTTGTATAAAATGAAACTTAAATGTGCAATAAATTATTTTCATTCATAAATTTCCCTTACCACTCCATATAAAAAACATGTGACATTGAAAGTTGATAGACAACAGCCCCAATTCCTGATTACAGTGTCTGATATTCATTATCCGTTTCGCATCCACAATCCAACATAAATAGTGCAAGTGAAGAGAGCTCATGGTTTTTGAACTCACGCTTCTTGTCTCTGGGGCTAGATCCTTTTTTTCTGGTGTAGCGTCGCACACTTCCCCGAAACCAATAGTCTGGGTTTGACGACTTTCGACACTGATGCCGGCCTTGATAGTTTATCTGAACTCGCTAAGCTGAAGGCACCCGGTCAAGCATCCCTGTCATTTGGCACGCTGTCGTGTTACGTTGCACTGCTCGTAATCGACTCTCCAGCCAGTTAGTTGAAACGCATCGATATCTTAACACAACCATCCAAATATACCATTCCATCCGACTACTCTGTCGTGTTCTTCCTTGGTCTTGTATTCGTGGTTGTATAACAAGTCCGAATAATTGGTGATTGGTCTTTGCGTCTGTGAAGTTCGCACCAGGACAAATCCTAAACTGGTATACTGCTTGCAAAAACTGATCGATTTCTTCAGGCTCGCTTCCAGGTCTCGTGGAAGAGTTCGGGGACTTTGGTGGATCCTTATGCCCAACCACCCACCTATGGTGGCTCGTGTGTGTCTGTGTATTGAGCAAATTTGTAAGGCGCATGATTTTTCTTGGGGCTGTTGTGCAGATGAACTCCTCAATTATCGTTTCGAAAGGCATTTGTTCGGTGTGATTGCAAAAGGAAGATAATGAGAACGAAAAAATAACTAAGATGAACAGAGGAAAGTGAGCGAGAATAACTAAGCAATGTAGATAAATTGAAAGGGTGAGAAAAACCTAGGCATGAGGCAGGAAAGATTATTGTGACTTGGAGAACCTAATGAATGTGCTGAATTCGAGGAGCATCGGTACAGTAGCTGCATGGGTAAGACGTCCAATGGAGATACGTAAAACTGAGCTGATTTCTTGTAATGGTGGTAGTGGGAGAGAGTCAGTTTTGCCGCAACTGTGTAATCAGCTGGTTGATTTGGACTGTTCTCAATCTCAGATGTATGAGAGCAATCCAATTGTCGCTGCACAGTAGTCCAAACCTTTCTTATATCTAACAACAGATGGGTGGCGATAACCTCAACAGGTACAGTTTCTATGGCCACAGACTCAAACGGGTAAAGGTGTGAACAAACACAGTTTTTCGCTCACTGGTGGGCAGTTTTCTTAAAGTTTCCATAACGATTGCCAAAGTGACTTTCAAGTGAAATTCCTGTCTCATAGACATGAAGTACTTTGCGTCATGCCGCCATACAAAGAGTAGTAGCTGGGAGGGTACAGCCGTAGGACCTTCAGTTCGTCCTCGTGTGACTGTTGCAACATCCCTATTACATGCTTCTTGTCTCAACTCTTAACTTTCCACGGGGTGTTTGTACCTATTTTGGAATGTGCTGATAAGGTGAATTTGTCGAACTCTAGGTGAGATAGTATTAGGTCTTTTAGGGCCCCAGAAGGAGTCCTACGGTGATGACCTTTAACTGTCTGCCAATAAGTATAGTAGCCTGCCCGCCGCGAAGACGCCTCCTCGACCATCGGAACTAGTTTCTACTTTTTCGCTTCGCATTAGTTCCAGGCCTCTTTTTTTGTTCGTGTGAGGAGAGTGCATTTCCCAGTGAGAGCCGGACACCCTCTGAATGTCGGTAGTCCGGAAAACATGATCGGGTATGCATCCACATTTAATGCCGTTCCGTTGTTTTCCATTTAAACTCAAAGATTTCTAAGAGCGCCCGGTATGGCTGCTGATTTTCGTTCTGACGACACATCGTTTCATAAATCAACATAGATATATGGGATCTAGGGTTCAACTAGAATTTAGTGACGGGAGACATTGAGGATAGCTAATCAGGCTGGAGATGAGTTACTCAAGCTGTTTGGTACGTTCATTTACCATGTCATTGACACCTCACTGACTGACGGACTATGATGACCAAGTTGCAGGTTGCATGGAGAATATTTTGGACAAGTTATTGTGATTGAAATCGATAGATTTCTTGTTTGAAAACTTTGCAGTGTACCTTCCTGGCAAAAAAATATAACTAATATAAAATATAACAGAATAAATGACACCATGCTTCTCGTTTCAATACTGTTTTAATCGATCAATTGTAACAACAAATCGCATTATGCCTTCTCGCGCGTCTTTAAAATTATTATAAGTTAACACGCACCACAGTGTATGGCAAAGCACTCTCAAACTTATAACCAGACATCAAATGATTGTTCAGGAAATGCTTAACACTAACTGCATGTTCGTACTAATAAGTATAAGTATGTAGCTGTACCTTACCTAGCACGCATGTTATGTGAGGTAACAAGTGTTAGAACAGAATTCACACATCAACTCTGTAACACCTAACGATTTCATTTGAATAACTTAACTGACAATCTGAAATGTCTTTGATTTTACTTTTGTTTACATCACTTAAATTCTTATCATAACACAATTTGAAATGTTGTAAAGGAGTATAAACAAACATATATTTTCTTGTTGTTTAAATATATATTGCTGAGAATCCAAAATTGTACCACAAATTGTTTGGAATAAAGTGAATTATCATTATTATCATCACAAGATACACGGCCGCTTTGTAGTTGTATTAGCCTTTTTCGGGAGTCAGTTACCCCCATCATGCTGTTGTTAGCCTAAGGCACTTGGTTGATTTTACTTCTGGGGTACATGCAAACAAATTAGAAAACAGGTGGAGTCTTAAGACCTTTACCGCGATTAAGACGGGAAATTATCCAAACACCATACGATTCGGCGGTAATACAGACAGTGGTATTTTTTCGAAGATGATAAACCAATTCAAAGTATATATACTTATTTCTCACGTAAAACAATTTAATAAATTGTAAACAAAGTACCATTTCCTTTAACAACAACTTTGCTCGTCATATTCTTGGTCCTGATTGGTCAGTGCGTGCCTGAACGTGGTTTTAGTTGAACCAAACTGCGATTTGATGATCTACAGGATTAGTACATGTGTTATGCATATTGAAGAAAGTATGAAAACATGGCAGAAGTTTGTCTGTAGATGAAACATTTCAATGAGGTTACTGCCATCTATACTTGAGTCAGATTGTAGCTATGGAGCAGAAGTACTTTTCGAAGAACTTTCAGTGGTTGATACTGCGAGATGGTCGAGTGACTAGTAGTGGTATTCCCGACCTGTTTTAATGTTAACTAAATAATTTGTCGTGGATTTGAAAACAACGTAAGGAAGCGGCGCTTATGTCTCAGAGGAGGAGTATGTTAAAGACAGAAGGCTAGTTCTCTCCTACGGCAATTTACGTTTGAACGTAGCTTCAAAGCTGGATTTTCGTACTCGTGTACTTATTTGCAAATCATGTTCGTTCTGCGGAAATAAATTACTTATAATTTGAGATTGCCTCTTGAACTATTAACAGGCTATATGTGTGAAGTACGGTTAATGTAAGTGGTAGGTAGTCGACTTTGCCTATCAGATAAGTTTCACTGTCAACTTAGGTTTAGAAGGTAGTTCGATAAGTATTTGCTCGGCATTTGAGAATAGTTAGGGGAAAACATTCTGATGCGTAAGGACAGATATTGTGAACCTGAATAAAATGCCAGTGGGAGGGAGTAAATCGAGGTGACAGTAACATTCGTTCACGTATTCATGTGTAACCAGACTCCCAAAATTAACATCATTACACTGACAACACACCTGATCCAGCTAGTGCCATCCTAGACAGAAATTGCAAAAACTTGGTCTCTGTATGTCGAAGGTGATTTCTGAGGACAGAGCGTTCTCATTTTGGATTTCTGGCTGTCATTCAATCATTACTGCAAAAACATACATACTTACATGTTAGACGAGAACTTATCAGCAGCTGGTGGCTAACCCTGATACTTATGGAGTGCTCAGAGCAGCCCTTCTGAAAAGCGATCTCATCTCATCAACACTTATATGAGGCTCTACGTAAAATTGAGCCAGGGGACAACTCAATGGCAAGAGGATGTCCAGTGATTGATTTCCCGCTAGGTGCCCCTGTCGAAACTGCCACAGTCAGTGACACTTCAACTGATTGCCATCGATGACCTGTTAGCCTCGGCCGTTAAAATACATTTCACAGAAGTCTCCAGTACGCGCTGGATATCTCTAGTAGATCTGTCTGCAACGTATATTCTGTTCACGAAAAAACTAGGGGTTGGGATTCACAAATGACAGCTATGCAACTCTGTTAAGCAGCTTCCACGAAGCTGAAGCCCTAGGTCACACGTAACTCAGCAAGTGTGTTTACTCATATCACAGTCATTCATGTGACTGTTCAGTGGCTGAGTCCTGTGATCGTAAACTCAAAGTGATGTTAGTTGCACAACACCTATGGCAAGGAGGCATGAAATTGTCAAAAGCCGTGCACTTTCATCAAAGACTGCACTGGCCCGCTGGGACGCGTTAACGGCAACCGTTGCTGGCGGAAAAGTTCACTATTCGAAAGTCACTGACGTGAAAACAAAAACTACTAAGTCGTCGAAACTGGTGCAGAAGTCAATGTTCTTCCCGTAACACCGGATGAACTTCATGACTTGTTATTCAATCTGCACGTAGCTAACGACAATGCGATCGCAACCTTTGGAAAAAGGTTTGTCTGCCTCAATTTAGGTTTACGCGAACTTAATCATCGAATTTTTTTCTAGCTGTTTCTATACTCACCATTGGGACATTTGCCGAATCACTGCAACCTACTCGTAGTCGCCATTGACGACAACCAAAAGATAGCGACATAAAGCTATGTATTGGCGGGATCAACTACGTAGGTCCAAGTTTAGTCATAGGTAGGACGATACACTCAGTCGACGAGTCCTATTAGAGTGTTAGAAAAATATCCGAAGCTCGGACAACCTACACTTACTGCACCATATACAACCAGCAACGTTATGCATCACAACCACAGGTCCACCTGTGGTGTCTAAAACATGCCGACCAGCCTCTGATAAGCTTAAAACGGCAAAAAGCGAAGCCGGTTACATGCTTAGACTAGGGATTACCCATTCATCAATCTCTGAGCATGACATACGGTGCCCCCGAAGGAAAGCAAAGATTGGCGTCCAAACGGTGATTACTGATGGCTCAAAGCACAACTGCCACCCCATACCTCACTATATCCAACTGATAGAAGATACGATTACTAAGTTTTTCCACGACCCACCTAGTAACACAGATACATGACTATCTTCTGTACCAAAAAAACGCATTCAGGTCGAACTGTTGGGTCCTGTGAACATTTAAAAACATAGTTGTTTAATGTGCGTAAACACTTCATTGTGGCACCGTTTTAGTGGGAATGCGGGACTTTACCTACGTTTAATTGTTATGGTGTCATTTCTTGCTACCGGTTTGTCAAACATTTTTCGAAAAACAGAGTCAAATTTTCCCATAGGATTTTTTTATATGAAGCGTTAACATGTTTCCCACTTTCGTAAAACATTTTCGGAATATCAAAACTTTTTCTATCCCAAGTGCAACGAGCGCTGGACGGAACGCCGAAGCATCGCGGAGATCGAGACCGGCGTACCATTCGACTCATCGTTTTCAATAACACCCTAGAATAATTCAGACAACCAGAGGCACTTTTCATAGAGTCCATCGGGAAAGCTTTACCAATGGCGAAACCCACTGGGTTTTCACTTCCGGCTAGTATTATCTCAGGGTCCTCACGAGTCCACTAAGGGGGAAAGTGAGCTGTAGCGGCAAACAATTCCCCATTATAATATCATAGGGTTCGAAGAAATTTAACATTTGATGCTGATCTTCAAAGTTCCAACGAACTTGCTAAACTGAAACCACACAGTCAACAGTTCATGCCAATTGGCAAATTGTCGTGTTAGTTGTGCTGCTCGTACGCCGTTCTCTAACCAGATAATCAGAACGCATCTGTATTGTGGCACAGTCTATCAAATATACTATTTCTACCTCGCCAATCTACTTAAGTTGTTTCTTGGTCTCGCACTTTCACGTGTGTTACAAGTACGAATAATTAGTAATTGGCCTATACGTTTGTCAAGTTCGCGTAAAATCCACTTCTAAGTGTATTAACAAACTGTTAGAATGGACAGAGAGACAGCTGACTGGTTAGTGTTTCCTATGTAAAATGTGGACTTAATATTCATCTTTAACCTTGATCAAATGTATTGTTATTAACACATCATTGGTCGATTACTAACTAGTATCTGAGAAGACAATTTTCCTACATTAAACCTAGCAGTTACTGGTTTAATAAAATAGTTCTATAAATAACTATATTTTCAGCTGGTTTTGCCCATTTCAGGACCTATATATCTTTTCTTCTGTGCTTCCTAGTAGTGTGGGTGTAGCACTCTAGCGAACAGCAACCAGTATCGTGGGTTGAAGTATTGTGGCTGCATAATGACAGTTACTAATTCGTAATCCATGAGCTAGTAGAAATAGTTAGTCGAGTAATATTTGGTCACCCCACAGACCATATACACTTTTAAAGAATAGCACGCAGTGAATAGAACGGTCTTATTGTAAAAGAATTTGTATGCATCAAATAATAATTACAACACATAGTCAAAGTGAAAGTAAAAATTTCGACAATGAAAATATTGCGAGAAAATTTAGCACAGAAACATATAAATAATCATTTTTAGAGTTATGCACAGGTCATTTTTCAATACGGGCGAATTTCGAGCTTGGTTCTGAAGTGTCATCATCTTGCGATACAAAAGAACTTTCTGGGTGATCAACAGAAGGATGTCTTTGAAGAAATGTAGTTGGGAAGACTAATAATATGCAAGTCACATTGTCACCTGACATGCGAAGGACAGCTTCATTAACCAAGTGTGTGCATACTGAGTCCAAATGGCGTTGAGATAAAATATGAGAAGACTTGGATGCAGACTGCTGATTTTTTGAAAATAAATAAATAGCATATAGTAAGACTGACTTCCAAAGACTCCATTTAGACCATCGAAAGGTAAGCAACAGACTAGTATTGTAGATAATTAAACTAAGATCAAGATCATGTAACTTTTACGTAAAAAATGAAAACGTAGTATTACTCCTAATGCTCGACAAGATGTGCTTAGACCTCAACTATGAGCTAACGGCTAGGTCACCAACCGGAAAGTCACCCTTTGAATTAATCACAAGAAAAGACTATCATAATTTGTTGATAGTGCAGTGCATGCTTATTCAACACTTTCACAAAAAATCCTAACATTTAAAACATTTAAATCCTTGAATTGTTTCTTGATGTCAATATCAGCAAAAAATTGTCTACAGAATCAAAACACATGTTACAGGACAGCTTTAACAACTGGTTACTGAAACTGGAAAAATTGAAACTGGAACACAAGGCCAGCTTACAAAACCTCTAATTGATTTTTGGTATGGAGTGAACCATTGACTACTCAGTTGATCTGAAAGTTGAACAATAGCCAAATACATGCGATGGCATCGAATTAGTAGTCTTTTTCCAAATCTAAGATACATTGAAATCTACCAACTTGTTATCGCCTCTCAACCAATTTTTTCTGCTGTTACCTTTTTGGTGCATTCATTTATTTACATGTTAGTTCCCGTTTTCTTGTCTCGTATCGCTGTTATAGCACAAAGTGTAGTCATTTGGGCCACTATCCTATTATAGTAGGTCAGTAATGGTTTATATCCATCAGTTTATATTAGGAAGCGTTTACAAGACCATAAGTATATAGATAAAACTTCATCAATATTTCACCAATATTCATTACTCCTCGAAAGTAGTGGGGGGGAAATGACAACATTTAGAGAAGACGAAATTCAGGGGAAACTGTGTTGAGACAATATGAGTTTCAATAAGCGTCTAAGGTTGGTGTTGTAATATTTTGAGGGCTGAATAAAATTTACATCCGAAAATATACCCAGTCAAGATAGTATGATAAATCATGATAAAAAACATAAACAATCTTTAATCACCTGACCGTTGTGTGGATTTTGATTATTTTTATTATGGTTCCCAATTTCTTTCATAAGAAGTTGATGGGTAAGAGAAACAGCTTCATTTGGAGGGAAACTCTTCCACAAACCGTCACAAGCTATTAACAGGAACCTAGGAATTCAGAAAATAATACATTGTATTGTACCAACAAGAGAATATTTGGGCATGAATTATCCATGAAAGAGGATGGAGAATCGTCAGAGAGTGGAACAACACAATACTCATTTATCTACGTACCAGTTGGTTATTGATTACTTTGCACCTTAACGAAGTTACTAAAACAATATAAAAAATGGTGCATTGGCCGACTGCTTTAAGCTGTTACAACGTAACTAGAGTGACAAAAAACAAAAAATCAAACAAACTGAAGGGTGAACAAGAAGCGCACGAGATGTACATTATGCAGACATGAAAAATGTTTATAGTCAAATAAATCCTGAATACACCTGCCCAGTCAATATGGATTATCAATCAAGTAACTTATAGTCTTCGATCCTAGTGACTTGACAGCAAAGGATTAGTAACTTACAATCACTTTTCGATTGACAAACGTAAAAATATATTTCTGAATGATTTTTAGATATGGAAAATAATACATTCTGGAGACACTAGCAAAACTTATTAAAACTACGAAAATCAAGAAGTTACTTCGTGTCAACCGGATTTATTTTGAAATAAAGTATAGAAAAACTGTATAGAATATGGTAGAAAGAAACAACAAAAGGAAAGAAATATACTACAAGGAATACCTCCTCTTGATAACAACTCCCAACTAGTCTTCAATAACACATATTCTATACGATAGTGATGGCACTATCATGCAGTGGTCAAGATAAGTAATTACTGATTATCTATCTCAGCTAGGATATACAGCAGCATTGGTCCCAAGAGTTGGACAATACTGACTATCATGACAAGGCAGTTGCATTCGCTATTTTGCACGGAAACAATATTCCCTGAACACTATTTAACTGTACATTGAATACATATATTACGAAATTATATGAACTCAAAACATCTAATCCAGATAGGTGTTTCACGGAATTTCAAATGCCTTCTAGACCAGAAATGTACAATAAAATAACTATTTAGTTTGTCACAAAGGATCACAATTAACGAACCTACATCTTAGTTTATAATAGTAGGTTGAACATTGGTTTTGTGGAGTTAAGCTTCATAATTCTAGGTAATCGCCTTTCAACCAGTGGGGCACGCTTTTGAACACAGTTCCACCAAATGGTCATATCATCGGTTCTTACACAATGGGTGTGGCTCATTAGCCTACTTCAAGAAAGTGTAGAAAGTCGCTAAGTGCATTTCTTTCTTTTTCAACACACACTCAAATGATCATATGCATGATTTTCGACCACGTATTTCCATGCGGTTAGGTCAGACAGATTTATTTTCTAATTAGATCATGTTTCAGTTGAAAAATAAAAATGAACACTTGGTTGTGACAAAATGGCTGTTAATCAAGTTAAATAAAGGCAAAATCATAAGTTCGAATTGTTTTATGGCTATTCCAGGTCTTCCTAGTGGGGAAACTTCCAACTGGTTTTGTTACATTAACCAATCTCATACTGAACGTATGGCCAAATAACCATTTTTAAAGGGAAAAGCTGGTAATTTCGAGCATTTAGATCCCTCTATAAACTTGTAAGAAGTGAGAAGGACGAGATTCGTACAATAAAATAGAATTCTAATCCATGAATAATACCCAATTTAATTACATAGTTCTTTATTTTACTAACATATTGTAATCTATCACTAATTGCTTCCTTCTTACATTTCTTACTTATGTACAATTATTTCTCTAACATATTATGCAGATTATCAATGATTTCCTGGTTTTAAAATTTGCGCTCATAGCCATTGTATATCTAGATTGTATGAGGCTGAGCAGTATTCACGAAATAAAAATATTTTATTTTGCAAATGTCGTCCTTCTTTGTCCAGAAAATTCTATTTATTGATGCTCTATGAAGGTTTGCAGGCTTTCTGGACAGATCTCGACATTAATTCCGCATAACATACAAGCAAACAAATCAACGTAGAACCACGAACAGGCAGACAGAATTAGCATAGAACCTCGCACACAAGGGCATCGGTTCAAGTTGTCATACTTCATAGTAGTATACAAAACAAGTAAAAGAAAAAGTGATACCAGAGAAAACAAGAGTATATGGGAGGCGAAAGAAGGTTACTGACAGTAACCAGATTTTTGAAGATGTCAAAGAACGGATACATCTGCTCCATTGCAACTGATTTTCAACCAAGTCGCTAAGAGTCTCAAACCAACGGCTTTTGTTATCATGAAAACCTTAGAAAGGCATTCTATTCTTCTCTACACAACTCAGATCAACAACCAAAAAAGATATCACAGACTGCTGCAGCCGCGTGTTTCGACTAAACCTTTGCACAACCCAATTCACCTTGAGATATAATTCCACGTCAAGGTAGATGATGGCTCGAGATGTCAAATACATGTCTAAACCACCTCACTCACTGAAGGTTTACAGCCTCATCCACCGCCTTCTCTTCCTTACTCAGTATTCTTCACCTAACCTCGACAATGCTCATACAGCGATTTCACCATATATAAGAAATGCTACGAAGACACTTATCGTCGAAAATCTGTATTCTCTCCATATCTCCCACTCAAAACCGGTCACGGTTCACAGTCGTATAACAGGACAGAGACAAATATAGAGAAGTATACCTGTCTTTTAACATCTAGTTGTGTATCTAGCCAACCGGCGCCAGAAATGACGCAAGTTGACAAACACTGAACGGGCCTTGAATACTCGAGTCAGGATTTCGTCGGCAACCAGCCCGTTCAGGCTGGTGCAACTCCTAAAGTAAGTGGATTGGCCAACTCATTCGACAACTTTATTGTTTATTCTTAGTCTGGGAGTCGTTGCAGACTAGTCCTGAATTATCATCTTACATTTCACTGTTGTGAAACGCATGTTAAACATACTCAGACTTCTACTTAAGGTATTTAGAGGACTGTAATAGCTATCAAACGATTTTAACCAGGCCCCTCCGTCCAGAGAACGATAGTGATTAATCTAGCACTAGCTTGATAACTATGTTTTTTCGAACTACTGCATTTTTCTTACATGTTTTCTTACCCATCTCTTTAGTTTTTTTTAATCTGTTGTATATGCCGTACTCAATAAAACATTCATCTATTGGTTTCTGTGATGTTTCTTCTTCTTCTTCTTCTTCTTCTTCTTCTTATTATTATTATTATTATTATTATTATTACAGTCCCTCACACTGTCACATCATCAAGATCTTCCTTCCGACTGCTTATAAATAAGTAGACTTTATCATTATCGTTCGCATTGCTAGCATTCTTCAATTGGGTCTGCTTGTTGTGTCTATCTTTCCCACAGTACATGATCACTTTGTTCTAACCCTGAAGCACGTTCCCGATTTTATCCAATATTCATTTCGTATTTATTTAGGGTTGTTTACAGCTAAAAAGCTGTAAAATGAATGAAAAAAATATGAGCTAAATTTATTTTACAAATCTTTCTGAATTGTTGGTCATAAATTAGACTTTCTTTGTACGATTCTACAGCCTGATAATAAAAGTGCTGCAAGGAAGATTTTTTCTCTGAAACTTTTGATTCCTATTTTTCATGACTAAATGAAATTTTATTAGCTTGAGGATTGCTGTTTGTTTCCAGAGGAGTTATTGACCCATTAAGAGCAGGAACTTTTCTAGAAAGCCACTTAGTACATACTGTTACCAACCAACCGATTCTTAATGTCTCAGTGACCCTGCTTTTCTAGGGAAAGTCATAAAACATAACCCGAACGAGTCGTATGTTAATCGATGAACTACTAACTCCGTCATATACGAACAATAAATTAACACATACTTCCATATCCATGCATTAGGCTATGGAGATATATTTGTTGTGTGTGAGTTGGTGATACTATGGAGCTCCTCAAACTTTGGTAGAAATCATGTTCGAACCAGTAATGCACTAGTTGTAGGTCAAATCACTAAACCGATAGGCCCCAACTTCAACACAACGCCGATGGAAAAAGCTTTAAGATATTGCTGGATGAGTACTATGCTCTGATGACATCAGTAATCGGAAGTTAATAGTCTCATAGTAATGACTACTTATGACAACTCCAGATAGTTAATAACACATAAAACGTATATATTACAGAAGGTTGTACAAAATAGTAAATGACAACCCTAAGACTTGAAGAACATTTATCGTAAATTTATGTTTTAATATTTCGTGATTACTATACTAACAAATAATAGAGATATCTCTGAATACACGACATAGTAACATCGAATCTCTTGGATTGGCCTACAACAAACAAAATCAGTTTGCATTTACCTCCAGGGCATTCAAAGATTTCATTCATCACTAACGCTTTTGCAGTCGATTTCGTATTTAAAACAATACTAGTTAAACTTTTGTAGAACAGTAAATGCTTTAATCCTTCTACAATTGTTCGAAACGAATACACTTCATTTCAAAATAAAGAAATATAGGATGGCGAGAAATCCCTTCTATAGTGATGATCATAAAAGTATAGACTTGATGACTTGATCTCAGTCTTGTAAACAAGTTTCGACTACTTGATTAGCAACTGCTGTACGGGAGAAGATATCACTCAACTTTGGAAGTTTTCTATAAAACGAATAGTAAAACCTATAGTTCCCAAGAGTTTTCTTTCGTATGTCTAGCTTAAAAAGTAAGGCAATAAAGTTGATGTAGTTCATCGACAATCATAGTGAGTATTTCCTCCTATCGACGGTTATCGATTCAAAACAGTAGAAGAACAATTTTCATGTCACTGGCAACGTCCAACTGAGTTGGTTGAAATTGTTGCTTCGTATAGCTTTATTTTAACAAGGACAGTAATGAAGAACTATGAGTGATTACCACCTCAGTATAAAAGTTCAAAGTATAACATTATATGTATGTGCATGCGTATACTGAATTGCAATTGAAACTAAATTTCACTCATGAAAACACACTAGGGATGGAAGAAAAGGATCACAATATAGTAAAAATGACCTAAACATCTAATATAACTCGACATGATAAAGGCTACCGTGTTCTGAGCTGAAGTTTCATTGTGAGGGCTTATACTACTGCCAGTTTCCAAGAAAAAGCATAGGGAGTGGAATTTTAACCCATGGTGGCATTGCTTTCAAGTGGAGTGTCTAATTCAGTGACGAAAAACTAAGTATTTAACTTTCGCGAGTATTTAAAAGATATCATATTCAAAAAACTAGTACAATTAGCAATAATTTTCGGCTACTGGGAAATTGCGATTTTGGTTACCTTCCTCAACCAGTGAACTAAATAGTGATCTTTAGAGAAGTAGTTATCACTACGATTGATGGATGACAGCTTCATCCTAATTCGGGACTGCAAGCCGATAACTGAAGAGTAACGCGGTCATAGTAAGGTCTAAAGGTCTTAGGATCAGATTCCTATGAAGTCATAATTTAAAACGAATAGGTTACAAATGTTGAGTACTCTCTCGTTTTAAATATTTCTTCAGTTAACGTAAGTTCATAACAAAGATTGCCTTCAAATCGCTCGACCTAACTTTCCATCTCGTTCATTCAACCAACATATAGGACCACCACCAGTGGTCAAAATAAGATACAAGTAAAATTCCATTACAAAAGATATACACGCTTAACAACTACTTTAAATTAATGTTTGAATGTAAGTAGATTTGGTAAAAGAAACCATAAGACGTATACAGTTGGCGATTATTACACTCTATCTCAAATTCTGATCATCGGATAGCAATTAACTTTTTGACTTAAACATAAAATTAGTGACAAACAAATGGGTATAGCTCACTGATCATTAGCAGTCAGCTGACATTTCCGTACATCTGGAATACATGTTACACCTTGCTTTTTGAATTGATAGTCACCAAATGATCGACTAACTTCAAGGACATTATTAACGCGACCATTTTGAACAGAAGCTCCGGTAGCCTGAATACGCTGACGTTCTTCATAATCCATAGGATTGTGGTCTTTCGTCAAACAGATTGCACTCAATTTAGGGACTTTTGCAGCAATATTCCCACCATTGTTGTTTGTATTATCATTAGAACTATCAGGATCGGACAATGATGAAGAATCAACGAATCTGGCTAAGACGACCTGAAAAACACGAAGTCAGTAACATAAACACCTACGTAGTATTAGGCATGAAAGTGATTGTAAAGTTATTCAATACCACATCAAATGTGAACACCAGACAAGGGTAAGAAAGTATTTGCTCAAGACAGTGTTACCAATTTGTCATGCTTGAAACCTGACTGTCCTAAATCTCAAATGAGTGGATAACAGAACACAAAAACGTCTACATAAAGAAGCTGTATGTGAGTTATTAAAAAGTTAACTATTGCTTACTTGCAATATGTGGTCAATATAAGACAAAAATAAGACCTACTACGCTTGATACAAACAGACAAAATCAACGTAAAACCTCGCACACATGTGCATCGGTTGGATTTACCACACTTCACCGTACCATGCAAGGAAAACATTGATAGAAGGCTCATATCAAAGTAGAGAAAGGTATGTCAAACACATATCTAAACCACCTCACTCACTGAAGGTTTACAGCCTCATCCACCGCCTTCTCTTCCTTACTCAGTATTCTTCACCTAACCTCGACAATGCTCATACAGCGATTTCACCATATATAAGAAATGCTACGAAGACACTTATCGTCGAAAATCTGTATTCTCTCCATATCTCCCACTCAAAACCGGTCACGGTTCACAGTCGTATAACAGGACAGAGACAAATATAGAGAAGTATACCTGTCTTTTAACATCTAGTTGTGTATCTAGCCAACCGGCGCCAGAAATGACGCAAGTTGACAAACACTGAACGGGCCTTGAATACTCGAGTCAGGATTTCGTCGGCAACCAGCCCGTTCAGGCTGGTGCAACTCCTAAAGTAAGTGGATTGGCCAACTCATTCGACAACTTTATTGTTTATTCTTAGTCTGGGAGTCGTTGCAGACTAGTCCTGAATTATCATCTTACATTTCACTGTTGTGAAACGCATGTTAAACATACTCAGACTTCTGACCAAGGTGTTCACAAAATCATGCATTTTGTTGGCGTCCTCACCTAGTAGGAAAATGTCCTCTGAATACTCTAAGTCAGCCATATGCACTCCAAGGAGTAGGTCAATGCCTATGAAGTTTTGTCCATTAATACACCTATGAAGACGTTAAGTAGGAACGATGAGAGCGCATATTCTTACCAGATACTACTGGCTACTGTCACTTGAGGTGAAAACTCCTCATCAGCCCTTGGATAGGTGCATGAGTCCCATAGAGAGCTTTGATCGGCATATTACACTACTTCAGTAATCGCCTCAAAGTAAGACACTGCCACAACACCTCTCGGTCGACAGAGTCGAATGCCTCCTTCAAGTCCAAAATGGATGGCAAGTGTCAGTCCCGGTAAGCAATCCTGTGTTCTGAAACCCGGCAAAGGATGACTAACACTCACTTATAAAATCAACGTAGTACCTCGCGCACAAGTGCATCCGCTCAAGTTGCCACAATTCACAAACGTTCTCAAGGCGCAGATGGATAGAAAAGAAAGGATTGATATCAAAGTAGATAAAGTAGTGTGAGAGGATAAACAATCTGAGGATAAAGGTTGGTGAAAATATTCAAGCTTTAGTAGATGTCAAGGAGTGAATGCATCTGCGTCAGTGACCGATTTTCGACCATGTCACTAAGAGTCCTCAACCACTGATTCCTTCCGTCTCGACGACCCCAGACAGGGAGTCTACATCTTCCTACACGACTGAAGCCAACGGTCATGGAATTTAAGGACTAGTGTGCCAGCTCATGGTCTGATCATCCTGAACCCTGTTCCAATCTAACTCAACTTCCACTAGTATGGCACACTGAGAAAGGCGGACGCTTGGCATGCTTAGTACATTTCCAAGCCATCTCAGTCGACCAAAGTTCACAACCTCGTCAATCCACGTGCCTGTCTTGCTTAGTATTTTTCGTCTGACTTCAACATTGCTCACATGATGATTCTACGACACACTAGCAATACTGTGAAGACACAGATGGTCAAATCCTGTAATGGGTTCTTATTTTCTACTTTTAACAGCTATGTCTCACAGTCATACAGCAGGACAGAACGGACTGCAGCGCAGTATACGCGTCCTTTAACAGATAGTCGGATATCTCACCAGTTGGTGCCACGGATAGCGCAAGTTAGCAAATGCTAAACAAGCCTTCTGTATCCCAGCTGAGATTTCGTCAGCAACTAGCCTGTTTGGGCTGATGCAAGTCCTGAATTAAATGAAGTGGTCTACACATTCCACCAATTCACTCCCTATCATTAAGCTGAGAGTCAATGAGAACCAGTCCTTGAGCATCATCTTACATTTGAAAGGTGTGAAACGCATGTCAAACACAGACAGGCTTCTGCTCAACGCATTCAGAAGACCCTGTATTTTGTCAGTGTTTTCACCTAGCAGGAAAATATCGTCAGCATACTTTGAGTTAACTAGATGACCTCCAGGGAGTAGGTTAATCCTTGTGAAGTCAGACGTACAAAGGGTTATATCCATTAATGCGCCTATAACTAAGTTAAACAGGTACGGCGACAGTGGACATCCCCTGTCGGGCACGACTAGTTGTTGTCAAATCACTTGGCGGAGTGAGGATCCCGACCGATAGCTGCTACCTTGACGTGGTGGTCGGGCTTGCATATCACAATGACCCAACGAGCTATGCTGGTGGAACGCTTGTTCCCTCGAGGTCCTACCATACCAGAAAGGTCTGTTGGGTAGTGGTTAGACGAAAAGCAGTTACCGTTATAGTGTAAATTGCTACACTATGATGGGGGTCTGAGGGCGAAGTCGTACTGCTGCTAGCTGGATGGGGTGTGACAGCAGTAAGGTGTTTCCCTTGGATGACCAGCAGTGCCAAGCTGATGCTGCCTTCTCAGTGGAAGGGGGGGTTAGAAAAGGTCGGCCCCAAAAATAACACACTCCACCACGCCCCACGGTCTGCCGGGCCGGCGGTGTTGGTTCACTTGTCGTTTCCTTTCGACCATCCGGCCCCAAAAATACAAAAATTCAAAATAATCATACTCAAAAGGCTGGGTGTGACAGGCCTCAAGCAGATGTCCGATGGGCTCTGCGGTCACACAAATCTCTTTCAGGTACCTTAAGAAGAAATAGCCTTCCACGGTGTGGGCAGCCGGGAAGTGTCAACCGCCCTCACAACTCTGTCAGCACCCAAGTTTCTTCTGACTGCTATCCTCCTCCTCCATCATTACCTTCTAATCTTCCTTCACGTCTCTTAATTAATGATGCTGCATCATCTTCAATTTCTCCTACCTCTGCAGCCTTCGACAACGATCTGAGTCCACAGAACAGCATCCCTGGTCTCCTTAAACCACGCTCCAAATTACATATTGGAGCCTTCAATGTCCGCACCCTCCGTCAAATTGGCCAACAGGCTTCGTTGGCAAAGACTCTAGCAACTCGGGCATGGATGTGTGCTGTGTTTGTGAGACACGCATACAGGACCCAAGTGTGGTTATTCACCTGACCTCTCCTGACCAATCTGGTGAATCTGCAAAATTCACCCTTCGAGTTTCTGGAGATTCGATAGCTAGCTCTCGTGGTCTTGCAGGTGTAGGTATAGCATTAAGCACCAGGGCAGAAAACTCACTACTAGACTGGATCCCAGTTGATAGTCGCCTCTGCGCTATGAGGCTGAACGGCACAGTGAGAACTAAAAGGAATAGTGAGACTCGCCGTTGTCTCTTTGTAATCTCTGCTTACGCACCCACTGACTGTAGTTCGGATGAAGTGAAGGACGAGTTCTACCATAAACTGTCTAACCTCCTCTCGAAAGCCAAACGTTCGGACGTAGTGGTTGTTGCAGGTGACCTCAACGCACAGGTGGGTAGACTGAGTGAGGCAGAAAGGCACTTAGGTGGCACTTTCGGAATCCCAGCTGAACGTACAACTATGCTCAGATAACCGCCTATTTTTAGCCAGCACAAATTTCAGACATAAAGAAAGGCACTGTCTGACCTGGCGTCCACCGAGCTCGACTCAGCGATGGACACAGATAGACCACATTGCTATTAGTCATCGCTGGAGAGGATCGGTGGAAGACTGCCGCTCCTTCTGGAGTACGTGTTTGGACAGCGATCATGCGTTGGTCCGAGCACGTATATGCCTGCGTCTCAATGGACGTAGAAAAAATTTGGCAACAAAACCACTACGAGTTCTGCTGGACAACGAAAACACCAAAGCCGTGTTCAGTGAGAAGTTGGCTAGGCAGTTATCGGAACAAAAGACTGTCACTCATCCAGAAGAAGCTTGGTGCCATCTTCAGTCTACTGTAAAAGCAGCACTGGAGACTGTAGCCGACTCCAAGATAATGGCTAAAAAGAGCCAGTGGATATCAGCAGCTTCTTCCAAACTAATGGATGCACGTGAATGCATCCCTGCAGGCTCTGAGTACAATGAAGAGCGAGCGCAACTTAAAAATAACTGACGAAAAGTCTGCGCAACGATCGTGAACAGTGGTGGGCAGCAAAGGCTAAAGAGATGGAAAAGGCAGCGGCGATCGGTAACAGTAGACAGTTATTTAGACTTATTAAGGAGACTGGGGGGAAATGGTCAACAACAGTTAGTGAGGTTATAGCGGAGAAGGACGGATCTGCGATTCACTCGCAGGGAAGGCGACTGGGACGATGGGCAGAACACTTTGAGGAACAGTTTAACTGGCCTCCAGCCACCATTGCGCTGCCCGCTATCCAGTCGGACCCTGAATGGGACATAGAGACAGGTCCCCCAACACTAGAAGAAGTTGAGAAAGCGGTAGGTAGCCTGAAACGGGAAGGGCAGCAGGACCAGACGGACTACCTGCTGAGGTATACAAGAATGGTGGTAGAGTTCTCTTAGTCAGGCTAACGGAAGTGTTAGCCAGTATATGGGAATCAAATACGATCCCCTCCGACTGGTCTAAGTCACTCATCATCCCAGTCTTCAAGAAAGGCGAGAAGTCCTCTTGTGATAACCACAGAGGAATCAGCCTGACAAACATAGTGTCTAAGATCCTAAGTTCTATAATTCTCCGACGCCTGAGT